ATCCGCCATTCTTATCATTTACTTTTCTAAAAACTGCTTCATATAAAGTAGTGCAAAATATTATAATAACTTTTTTTAATTTTAAAATATATTAGAACGCTACACAAAAATTTCTATGTTTCGGAACTTAAAAATTGTTCCATCATCAGACGAGGTTTGGTAACTTATGAGGAAAATGATTTACTTGGGAAATCAATGAACAGTTCGATAGCTTATTTGAGAGTTAAAAAGATTCCAAAATTTTGCAGGTATGTCTTGGTTAACCAATCCAATCAAAAGACGGATCAAAGCTAAAATAGAAAAGTGAAAAATTAGTTTAGAAGTTGTGAGAAGGTGTGTTATTGATTCATGTCTAGATAAATTGGCACTTTTAAGGTACGTCAGTACAGACGACATCCGGTTACGAATAAAAATTTTAGATACAGTGAAATAGAGATATATTTAGCAAAAGGTTAATTTTAAAGTATTTCAAGATTAAAAAAAAAATTGTTATTGTTGAAACTTGAATAAAACATGGAATAATAATAATACAACACAAAATGTATTTAAACAAAATGTATTGAAACAAGAACGTGTACACAATATTTACAGATAGTTTGGTATATTCTTGGGAAGACCGTTCCTGTAGAATGGGTTGACATTAGTCGCAGTCGGGCAGAGTCTCTGGATTGCATCTCTTCTTCCTTCTCCTCGTCTTCCCGGTACCAACCCATATTTATATGGTCGGTACTCCACTATGTAAATTAGGTGGATCGTACCACAACAGTTATATACTAGTGAACTATCTGCAAGGGGCCTCTAATGGGATTAAATCATTTTTATATAAATATTATTTTGAACCCAAAAGACAATACTAATTATATTGAATGAGCAATAAAACATAGCAATATTCAAAGCGAACCTGAATATGAATGTACGAGAGAAAATCATGGTGAGTTGTAGTTTAAAAACAGTAAAATCGACCTTGCTAACCGAAACGCTCGTCTGTGGTTAAATGGGTAAAGCACGTCAAGCTATATGATGGTTCCGTATAGGATACAGGTTCGATTCTTGTCGGTGGACGCATATTTTCTATGAAAATTTCTCGGTCAATCAGGCCTGTAAATGTCATCAATACTGTTTATTATAAACAGATCATTTACTTAAATAATTGTATCTATAAAAAGAACTTATAAACACAAAAAATGTCTTAAAATAATTGTCGGACTTTTGTCCTTTCATAATATATATATATATATATATATATATATATATATATATATATATATATATATATATGTATGTATTACATTTATAAGATGTCTTTATATATATATATATATATATATATATATATATATATATATATATATATATATATATATATAGGGGGAAAACAAATATTCGTACACATATTGATTTATATAGCTCTTGGTACAACAAAAATGAACCCTTCCTGTATTAATCTCTATAGTGTTACTGAACCTTGTCTAAACTTCTGGAGGAGATGGGTTCAAAATCTTGGAATCAGAAAATCTGGTGTCAGCTAACGGTGCTTTCTCCAAGAAGGGAGCACGCAGGAGAGCATATTCATAAATATATTTTTTAACAAATATGATAACGAATTGAGCAAAATCAGTTTTTAAAGAAAGCAGTAACTTTCAATATTTGATATTCAAATTAGCTAGTTGGACAAGATATAAGGCACATGGTGCTAGCTATAAACAATAATTCCGTTTTTATTTGATGCCATAGTTTTACATAATATTTGCACCGAGGCGCATATATATATATATATATATATATATATATATATATATATATATATATATATATATATATATATATATATAAGTGTAAGCGCGTGTGGGTCAACATATTTAGCGAGGAAACTATGTTTTTATTTTCCAATGTTTTGACGCAGTTATTCTTTGTCATACAATTATTTACGTTTTCGGCCGCCGCCCCCGCCCTAAGCACATATGTTAACGTCGTTACATGTACCGTCATCGTTCCCCACCCTTACTCAAACCCACAAACCTTGCTTCTTGTTAACTCAGCTTGTATCAACAATTATATATATGTGTATATATATATATATATATATATGTGTGTGTGTGTAAATATATATATATATACACACACACAAACACACACGCACAAAAAACACACACAAAACACACACACATGCACAAAAACACACACACACACACAAACGCCCATGTGCGTTTGTGTGTCTGCGGTTGTGAGTGTGTGTATGGTTAAGTACAATGCGCGTTTCCTTCGCTTTTATTTTTGTATTTGATTCATCTTTCTTCATTTTTTTTTATAAAACCCCATGATTCTTCTTCTATATTTCTTCTTCTTCTTCTTCTTCTTCTTCTTCTACATTATTTCCTTCTCTTTTTCTTTTTCCTATTCTTTTTCTTTCTTTTTCTTGTTACGTCTTTCCATGTTTCCTCTTCCTGTAAACTATTTCTTCTTCTTCTTCTTCTTCTTCTTCTTCTTCTTCTTCTTCTTC